AGTTGTCTCAGCCGTCCGCCAACGCAGGCAAAGCCTCTTCGACCGCCTCTGCCCCGTGCGCCAGCTGCAGAGAGGGTCACGAGCGCCGGTCGTGCCGCTTCTGAAACGCAGTCTGCCGGACCTGCAACAAATCAGGGCACATTTCCCGGGTTTGCCGCTCCAAGGGACAACACCAGAAGTAGTCTGCCCACCAGACCACGTCGGAGCCGCCCATTGACCTCCACACCATATTAGCCCACTACCCGCAACACCAGGTCTCTAACTTGTCCCCCGATGGCCCCAACAAGATGCACGTCACAGTTCTTATAGAGGGATCCCCCTGCAGCATGGAGATCGACACAGGGTCGACCTACTCTATTATCTCTGCGGATACACTCTGCATGCTGTGTCCAAAGGGCCCCCCGCCCCTTCAGAAGCCGCGTGGTTTCCGGTTAAGGGACTTCAATAAGAACCCGGTGGTGGTGCTGGGCTGGGGCAAGTTCTGGGTTCAGTTCCAAGACTTTAACGGCATCCTAGACCTGCTGGTGGTGGATAGGCCTCTCTCCAGCCTGCTGGGACTCTCTTGGTTCGAGGCCCTGGGACTCTCTCTGAATGGAATCCACCAAGTTGGGTCACGGGATTTTGGCACGTTGTGCGTGGAATTTCCCCGCGTTTTCGATGGCACCCTGGGATGCTTCTCAGGGCTCCCCATATCCTGGACCTCGACCTGGTGTTGTGGTCCATTCGCGTCAAGGCCAGGCTGCCGCCACTAGCAATGAAGCCTAAAATCGAGGCCAAGCTAGATCGCTTACTGGAACAAGGAGTTCTGGAACCAGTCGTGTCAGCACGGTGAGAGAAACCTATAGTCATCCCAGTCCCTGTTGTCCTCATTGCTTTATGTAAAGATTGAAAAGCATGGGGGATAGGATTCTGCCCTGTGGCATTCCACAGGGCAGAATCCTATCCTCCATGCTTTTCAATCTTTATTTATTTATTTATTTCTTCAAATTTATACCCCGCCCTCCCCGCAAGCGGGCTCAGGGCGGCTTCCAATAAAATACCAGTTACTTTACATTAAAATACATAATATACAAAATACAAAATACAAAATACAATGTACAAATACCATAAAACATTATAAATACAAAGTGCAGGCGGCAGATTAAAATTCATTTCAATAATAAGTTGCAGAATCACTTGCCATTGCCCTGATGTCCACTAATGGCTTCTGTCATC